TCACACTTAAAGTATAATAATAAATAAATAAATCTAAAAAAAAAAAAAAAAAACCCAATATATTTTTTTAAAATTTATGTGGGGTTCTTAATGAGTAGCAGGTAGCTTTATGTCTGCCACAAACCTTTGGTAAATGTGATTTAAATGCAAATGTCATGTAGTAAGAGATTTTATATTTCTTTTAGAGACTAAGATTCAAGCAGTGTTTGCACTAGTGGCCTTTACATGCTAGCACCTTCTTTCACTGCCTCACTCATGTATGGAACTTCTATACATATGTAGACATAGTACTCATACATGGTATACACACACACACACACACACGCACATAGCGCCATGGTATTCATCCATGGTACTTATATACATATAAATTAACTCTTATTGAAATAGTGTTAAAACTACAATATGGTTTTGTGTTATGATAAAATCTACATTATTCCCTGAACCTTGGCATATTCTGTACACAGCTCTGATTCATTTGACATTTGAGGACATCATAATCTTGACATTTTGAGCTTCTGGGGAAGTTCCTGTTACACTAAGAATTTTGGCATGCTACTGTTCCAAAATAAGTGATTATTTTAGTTCCAGCAGATAGTCTGAATTTATAATGAAGAGGGTAAAAATCACCAATGCCACCCCCACCATCAAAATGATCTATACTTAAAAAATGCTACAGTCTTCTAAGTGATCAGCATACCCACTGACTTAGACCTTCGAGGATCCTCCCAGTTTCCAAGTTCTGCTTAGTCCTAGCCCAAATAACTACACTGTCGTCAAAGAGACCAGGTCTGGAATTGGTGTGCCCTGATGACAGGTTACGACAATGCCAGCTCCAAATAGGCCTCAATTTTTCCTGAAAGACACACTTTATATTATGACATTTTGGTACAACTGGAAAGGTGCCAAAATTAAATATATAATCAATTGCTTCTTAATCTGTGTCCCTTGCCACTTTATTCTTAGTAGTCATTATAGTGTTTTATTTATAAAAATTTGTATGACTCCCTGCATAGACTCTAAGCCCACGCTGGGTGGGGATAATGATTCATTAATTACTATTCTCATTACCTGCATATAGAACAGTGACTGACACAGAGAATAATACAAATAAATGTTTGTCTTTTTTAAATAAATCAAATAAAAAGTATTTCTGTAATCAATCCACAGTCCATAATTGAGATGACTCTGTGCTTTTTAGAGTAGAGATGTCCAAAAAAGATGTCTACAGATTTATCAGTGTACTTATGTCAGAATCAAATACATTATTATAGATAGTTTATGAATCAGTGCAATAGAAAATTATGGTCACGGACTATAACATTTAACTTTAGATATTTGCCTTGCTAGGTCATAAAACACTAATACAATTTAATCTTGCATTTGCAATAAATCCCTAGATTCATGAAAGAATGACAAAACAATACGGAATTCAATTTTTCTGGCCATGTAGCTTTTAGAGCTTATATGAGTATGAATGATTCATAGATCTCAAAACTATGAACTTATCAAACTCACCCTTGAAAACTGTTACAGGAATTGAGTGAGAAATAGAATTGTGCATTAAGACGCTATATGTAATTGAAAAGTAGAAACAAGGAAAATAAAATTTGCAGCATATTGACACAAACCCACATTAAAACTATAAGACTGTCATTAAAAACATGTTTAAAAATCTGTAAACTATCAAAAAAATGTCCGCCTATAGCACAAACTATATCTATTGGCTTGGGGATAAAACACATCTAAAATTAAATTTCCCAAATTCAAATTAGGAATGTTATTCTGGTTTTAAGATTTATACCATAGGCTGGAAAAATTATTTGAAAAATTATGCATTTAATTAGCTCAAAAATAATCATTCTGAAACTGACAAAAAAAGAACCAGAAACAGTGAGTTTCAGCTAAATTTAAATGTTTATGTAGAACTTACCATAGCTACCAGCAAGTGCTTATTGTATAGTTGCTTGAATTAATGAAAAAATCTTTATTGGAAATAAGATCAATAGCTTAGAAAATACTGAGACAAAGCTTTAATAAGAAACAAAAAACCAGAAAGGTCTATTTCTTACTTCATTTTTCTTCCTCCTTTTGGAAATCTCTAAACTGTCTGAAGATTTGTCATATTTTAACATTTGACACACTTTGTTTCAGATGCATGAACAACATTATTTTACATCTTAGTGGGCAGAAGAGCAAGGGGTATCAGGTATTAGCTAGCACAAAAGGAAAGAGCCAAATGTGGAGGTGTGTACCAGTGAAGACAGACTCAGCATAGGCATCAGGGTGAGATTAGACAGTGAGAATTTGCTCCAAGGAGCACCCATACCTGGTTTTTCTCTTGCAGGTCAACTTGTGACGTCTTGAAATCAGGACTTGGAGAGTTTGCACTTAATCTAATTTTCTTATCCAAGAGCTCTTCCATTTCTTTCACCTGGATCTTCAACCTTCTATTTTCTCTCTCCAGTCCCTGCTTTTCTGTTTCAAGTATTTCCCTCTTGTCCCATTCCGAGGTGTTTTCAGCTTGCAATCTCTCTAGCTACACGCAGAAAACACAAAAAAGCAGCATGCAGCATTTGCAATTGCCAAAAGGTAACGCCACCGACAAACAGACTCCCATTAAGAAAGGTTCATGGATATGTCCATTGATAAAATTTTAAAAAGAAAATTCTATTTGTTTGAAAACATGAGAAAAATACAAAAGTCTGAAGATCAGGCCATACCGTAGATAAATAGACTTTTCCTCTTGGTTCACGTAACTATCTCTATAGCCATATGGACCATATTTTTCAAATACATGTGTCAAGTGAAAAACTGCTGCTCTTGGGAACACATTAATCTCCACTCTCAACTGATGAACATTCTCAGTGGAGAAGACACAAAACCATTTTGTGGGCAATTTTGATTGGATATATTCCACTTATTCATTCACTCATTTATCTAGGGAATAGATAGATGCTATATGTCTATCTTTCTATCTATCTGTCTGTCTGTCTATCTATCTATCCATCCATCCATCTATCTATGCAACATTCGCAGTTGCCAAAAGGTAATGCAAAAGGTAATTTCATTTTGGCCAGGCGCGGTGGCTCACGCCTGTGATCCCAGCACTTTGGGAGGCCGAAGCGGGTGGATCACGAGGTCAGGAGATCGAGACCATCCTGGCTAACACGGTGAAACCTCATCTCTACTAAAAATACAAAAAATTAGCCGGGCGTGGTGGTGGGCGCCTGTAGTCCTCAGTCCTTGGGAGGCTGAGGCAGGAGAATGGCGGGAACCTGGGAGCTGGAGCTTGCAGTGAGCCGAGATCACACCCAGCCTGGGCGACAGAGTGAGACTCCGTCTCAAAAAAAAAAAAAAAAACAAAAAAAAAAAAGCAATTTAATTTTATATTGAAATACATATATATACTTTATAATTTTGTATTTTAAAATTTTACATTAAAATATTTTCAATGTAAAATTATATAAAATTGAAACAATACTACAAATAAAATCTTATTGGGACACAGCCGTGCTTCACACTTTGCCTATAACTGCCTTCACACACAAAGGCTAAGTTAAACTGTTGAGAGAGAGACCATATAGGTAGTAAAGCCCTAAATAGTTACTTTGTGGTCCTTTACACTAAAGTTTTGTCTACCTCTGCCCTCTTCCCATGGTTCTCAACCAAGGCTGCATGGTATATCAACATGAGGAGATTTTTATAACCATCGATGACCAGAAGCCTACTTTAGAAATTCCGATTTAAGATAATTTTAACATCTCCTTTGGTTTTTATTATTTTAGTGTTTTTATGTTTTAAAGAGGCAATATCAAATGTATTTATTTTCTGCAATTTTATTACATCTAAGTGCTCATTATGATGAGGTGCAATTATATTCATCTGCTATAATTTTTTTTTGTGGACATTGTAAGTAGAAGTGAATAGTAGCTTTTTTTTTGCTGTAAATTACAGTCCTGAGCTATGCATTCTAATCTGACTTCACGATTTATCCTCTGGATAAGCTTAGTCAGGTAACTTCATCTATCCCAATGTGGACAATTTATCTAATCTGATGAGGTTTGTGAGAAGTGAAATTAATCAAGGTAATTAGAAAGCACTTTGTCTAGCAATGTAATAAAGGAGAAACACTGTGGTAATATAAATTTTTTTTAAAAATGTATATTTCTCTCATATATTTGGGCATATGGACATCAATGTAATTTATTGCATATATCTATACAACAGAGTAACTCTTTACAGTAGAAAATCTATTAGAATCTCATCCTGGTTCCACCACTTACTCACTGTCTAATTCTGGACAAGACATTTATTGTCTTATTAAGTTTTCTTACTAGTAAAATTAGTATGGTACCATACATATAATACCATAAATACAATACCACAAATGCCACATTTGTGGTATTGTATGGACAGAAGAGGGTCAACTACTCAAAATTCCTTGCAAACTATTTAGGATGATTAAAGTATGAGGCATTTTAAAAATATCTCAAAAGGATAAACATTCTAAATTACTTGTTTTTACATTGTTAATTATAATGGCTTGATTGCAGCATACTTTATAATTATCATACTGTTATAAAATCTGTTGCTATGACATGTTAAATTCTAAAAACCCATCAACTTAGTCAACATTTAGAAAAATGTTACATTTCAAAAATATCCTTTATAATATCATAATAAATTATGATATAAAAGCCTAAAAACTGCTTTTTCATATATATATAATTGTACCATTATTGTAGAAAATGTTCTGTTCCCAAATCTAAGAGATGCTCTGGCTTCTAAAATGTAGGAAACCAAAATTACATTCTTGGCACATTTACCTATTATGTATAATAAACTAAGGGTCAAATTTTAGATGATGTAGTTTGACATTTGGGATGCTTGTTTGGGAATATGAGGTGAAAATATTATATCACAATTTAATTTAGTACATTACATTACTTTCATTGTTAAGACTAATACTTAAAGTTTCTATCATTGCCTCACTTGTCAGAATAAAAATAATAAAGTTGCCACAAAAAGGCAGCAACTTAGTAATGAAAAATTAATATAAGGAGAGCAAATGTATTTTTGGGCAAGGACAAATATGCTGTGTCAAGTCTTTGCAAACTTGTAGGATTCTTTTAAATGTTAAAATTAAATAAATTGATTTAACATTAAATAACAGATAACAAGTAGAACCAAGGTTTTAAATAAGTAATACATGGTCTGAATGAACAAATTTTAACTCTTAAGATTTTTTTTTAAGTAATGATTTCAGCAGTAGCAACAACAAAGCTTAAATAATGCCTTCTGATGTTTTACTATTTACAGATTTATCAAAACATACAAATTATTTGATAAATATATGCATATAACACATATTAAAAACTAAAAGTCTTATAAAAATTATTAGCAGTTTTAGTTATTTTGTAAAACTGTTTCTTATCACATTATTCTTTTCCAAGAATCATATGAAAATCCACTAATTTAAAAAGCATTTAATTGCATGTACTTTAAAATGATACATAAAAAATCAAGTAATATTTTAAGCTCTCAGAGTTTACCATAAAAAATTACAATAATTTTATCAAATGGAAATAGAATTCCATTGCTTTGCTTCTGATGATGAAGAGAAACTCCTAAAATATTTTAATTCTAACTCAACTGTGAATTTTAACCATTAGTGTGTTCTAGCGTTAAATGAATTTCAGATAATGCAGAAATTACTGAAACATGTTTTCTGAAAATTTTAACGTAAAAGTACATTCTTTGTAGAGTAAGTACTAAAATATTTGTTCACTTAATGACATCAATTTCTCATTAAACACTGAGAAAAAGTACATAAATATCCAACACTATATTTACTGAATGAATATTTATTGAGCATATTTATGTATCAAGAAACAAAGAGGAACTGAATATATGACATTAAAAATGCAAATAGAATATGAGTAAAATTGGGCATCTTTTTACAAAGGAAAAAAATTGAGTATCATAGAACGGCCTGCAATAAATCAGGTAAAAGGAGAAGGTTGTTTGAGGAAATGATATTTAAGCTGCAACTTGAAGTTTAACAAGGCAGAAAAGCACAGCCAAGCCCAGACTGTACCAAGCACAGGAAGCAGGAAATATGTTTGAACACTGCAAGACCAAGAGGAGTCTGTCCAGTTATGGAAAGCTGGGATTTGGGGAGGACATGGTATAAAAGGAAATTGGGCAAACACAGACTGGTTCTGAAAAATAAGTATGAATAACAGAATCACTTGAGTTTCTCGTAAAAACTGTAGTATTGTGATTATTCCTAAGGATAAAATGTTGGATCATTTTCTAAACATAGCTATTTACTCATTCTTCAACTGTCATTGCTTGATATTGTTGAAAATATACCTAAAATTGTAATCATTAACAACAACTGGAATGCAAGCTTTATGAAACCATGACTGTGTCATTTTGCTCATAAGCCCAGCACCAGACACACACTGTATGTGTGCTCCATAAAAAACTGTTAAGTGAGAGAGAAAGCAGATAATGATGGTCTCCAGGAAAAATCCTTTCTGTATTTCAATGACAACAATTAGACACAAAGCAAAATTAAGACAGCACTCTAGAAAAATCCAGTTACTTGACTTACCATGACCTAACATGAAAAGGATTTCTCAGTACATTGACTCTGAGCTCTTACTGCTATTGTCAGAGCTGCTTTACATTTTATAGTAGTGAACACAGTGAGGCAGAGATGATTTTTAATAAAATAACCAACAGATTAGTCCCAATTCTCATTTAGACTGATTGCTTCAATTTGTGTTCTTTAAAACATAAGAAAACTTTTTCCTACAACCTAATGTTGTGAGGGAGAAAAGAAATCATTTAGGGAAAATATTTATTAACTTCCAAATTCAAGTCAAAAATGTCTAAAGTCATAAGTTTATTCTCTAAAGAAGAAAACATCAACAGCCACTTCAAATACAAAATAGTGTATTAAAGTTTTCCTTAAGTTTTATCAAGATGACAATCACTTTTTAAATGGCCCTAATCAACTGAGAAAACTCCCAAAAGCATGCACTATATGTCACTTGGTAGGCCAGCGAAGAGTCACCTAACACCAAGGTGGATGTTCCAGTAATCGATTTGCAACCGAATTTTGATTTCAGACAAGTTAGCCATAAAACCACATTATATATACTGTGGTTTTGGAGGAAAGAAGGAAATGACAGAAAGCATTTCTGTTTCCTAGCAGTAAGAAATTATCACCCTTTATTGAGGCCCTAAGGTATCCTGGGTAAACAGTCATATAGATTATTTCCTATTCTTACAATGATTCCACAAATCATTTGACTGTGCTATGCATGAGGGAGCCGGGGTTCCAAGAGTAGAAGTCATTTTCCAGTTGGACAAGGAGTCCAAGCCATGGTTCACCTAAAGATCCTCTCTGGTTCTATTTCTGAGCTCAGAAACCAGTAAACAGGACCACATATCCACTTGCAATAGCAACTACCAGATTCTGAATCCTATATTGCATTATAGCAAAGGTTTCATTTATGATTTTGG